TAGAAACTTGAATTTTTATCCCCTACATATTTTCTCCTCAAAAATATCGCATCACTCATTTCTATCATATGTTCAATCATTTAATATTTGATTTATTTATAGTTTAAAATAATTTTTATTTTAGACATTATCCATACATGACAGTATACACATGCTGAGAAAATTTTATCGAATTTTGTATTTTGAGAAAATTTTGTCTATATTTTTAAGAAAATAATGGGTAAAAATAAATTTTAAATAATGTAATTAAAGAAATGAAGGGAAAAACTGTTATGTAATACATGAGATCAATTTTTTGGACGCTCAAATTTTATGTTTCACCATACATTCAGGCACGAGTTATGACTAATTATCTTATATTTGTGGATGATTTTTCTAAATATACTGGGATTTATCCCCTTGTTCGCAAATCAGAAACCTTTGCATATTTTCACAATTTTAAACTGGTTGGTTGTTTAACATAGTATTAGAGGAGGATGTCATGTATTCAAATCTCGCTGTCACTCAATTTTTTTAAAAAATATTTCATGTGCTAGGACAAAAAATTAGCCAGAACGTAATGGGCGCGTGTTGAAATATAAATATTTAAGTTACACCCTCTTTAACAACTTAAATTTTTTAAGTAGATGATTGTTTAACAGTTTAATCCATCTCCAATGAAGACTCAAACCCATACCCAAATTTGAGGAAAAAAATAGGTAAAAAACTTGATTTAATACAAAATACTCGAATGGAGAAAATCAAAGTTAAAAAAGGACAAACCCAAGTTTAAATAAGGACAAGCCCAAATTTAAATAAAGACAAACTCAAATTTAAACGAGAATAATAGAATATGACTACTAGATTTTTAAAGAAGAATAAAATCTAACCATTAATGANAGTTACACCCTCTTTAACAACTTAAATTTTTTAAGTAGATGATTGTTTAACAGTTAAATCCATCTCCAATGAAGACTCAAACCCATACCCAAATTTGAGGGAAAAAAAAGGTAAAAAGCTTGATTTAATACAAAATACTCGAATTGAGAAAATCAAAGTTAAAAAAGGACAAACCCAAGTTTAAATAAAGGACAAACCCAAATTTAAATAAGGACAAACTCAAATTTAAACGAGGATAATAGAATATGACTACTAGATTTTTAAAGAAGAATAAAATCTAACCATTAATGATTGAGCAATGCTACAAAACTCAAATAAAATCCAAAAAGTTGTAATCCAAATGCATATCATCTCTTGAATGAGTGGGTCCCATCAATTTTTTCAATGGAACTTACTCATCCCACACTCATCAAGTGGATTATATGCATTAGATTTTAACTTTTGAATTTTATTTGGGTTATGTAGCATTTTCCTTAATGATTTGGATAAAAGTTTGGGTCTCCTTTGATTTGATGTGATTTTGGGTACAACAATGGAGAAGGTTTTAGGGATATTTTTATTAAATTTAAATTTGAGTTTAGAAAAGGGTAAGGGTTGAATTGGCATGTCTAGTTATGGGAGTGTGAGCTTTTTTTTTTTGGTAAATTGGGTGTGGGTACCCTTTTTCAGTCTTATTTGGATATAAGTTATCTGTTTTAATATGTAAGTATTTAAGTTCAAAATAAGTATACAAATTTGTAAGGAAGTACACTTGTTAGTATTTAATATTACCTAATTATCCCTATCTTGATTCATGCATAACTAACATGGAAATATTTGAAAAGATTCTTTATAGTGTTATTATAATATATACAATCGTTTGAATTTTAAAATACTGATATCAATTTATTTGACATTATCCTATTGAACCAAAAGATTTTCTTCTTCAACATTTTAGTTTTCTTCTTAATTTTTTTTTCGTTTTACATAGAATGCAATAATTTTTTATTTTTTTTAGTATAGCGAGATTTTGGTTTCTTTTTCACTATTTTAGAGTTCGTCTTCTCTTTTAACCCGACGAAAATTGCTCAACTGGATGCGTTGATTTCATTTTTTTTTATCTTCTCTCTCTCTTTTTTAATGAGTCGAATTCTTTTTGAAAATAATGTAACAACATAANTTTTTTCACTATTTTAGAGTTCGTCTTCTCTTTTAACTCGACGAAAATTGCTCAACTGGATGCGTTGATTTCATTTTTTTTTTATCTTCTCTCTCTTTCTCTCTCTCTTTTTTAATGAGTCGAATTCTTTTTGAAAATAATGTAACAACATAAAAATCAATATGACAAGGTACTCAAAAACAATGTAACAACATATTTAAACAATGTGACAAGTTACTTAAAAATAATATGGCAATAAGAAAACCCTAAAATTTAGAAGTTTTTGAGAGAAATAATTTTAATTTGAGAAAGATTTCAAATTAAGAAATTTAAAATTTCTTTAAATTTTGAATTTAGTAATATATATGAGTGAAAATNGTAACAACATATTTAAACAATGTGACAAGTTACTTAAAAATAATATGGCAATAAGAAAACCCTAAACTTTAGAAGTTTTTGAGAGAAATAATTTTAATTTGAGAAAGATTTCAAATTAAGAAATTTAAAATTTCTTTAAATTTTGAATTTAGTAATATATATGAGTGAAAATACATTTTAGAGTAATAATCGACTTCCATGTTTTGACGGATATTAGTCATGATTTTGTTGGCCTTGATTCAAGAATCATGAGAGACTGATGCTTGGAGGGGTACTTGATTTTCTTATGATTAGAGAAGGGTACTTTAGACTTTATAGACAAAAGAGGACTTTTATCCAATTTTTTTTTTTAAAAGAGGCATTTCTCTCAAATAAGAGTTAACAAAACATACTTATGCAAGATCAACAATCGAGTGTGTAATAAAGTATAATTTACGAGACAATTAATAAAACAATCAATGACAATAATGTAAATATTGGATCAACACACACACACACACACACACACACACACACACATATATATAGTGGTTCGCTCCATGCGACTTACTCCACTACGAGAAACGACAATGATGGTGGGGGGACCTTTATTAATAAAATAAGGTGGACGAGAGAAAGAGTAATAGTTAGTTTCGGGAGAGGTACAATATGTGGAAGGGAGAAAAGTTAAATGTGGAGTGTGTAGAGAGGTGTAGAAGTAGAGCTTAATGTATCCCCTCATATAGAGATGATTTACAATTTATAGGCACAGGACCTTGGCTAAGGCGGTAACTTGAGGACAAATGTACTAATTCTCCGCGTGTCTGCAAAAGGTAATTGTCATAAAAAATTGTCTTGATCTTCGAGAGGGAGTATCCCAACAATTGCCCTCCATGTGTCTAATTTTCTTTAACTCCTTGAAACTTAGACTGAGCCGAATTCATGAATTAAGCTTGACCCACCTTGTAATTGATTTGAGCTTATCTCATTAATTGAGTCTGACCCAGTTAAATCTAAACCCTCCAAGAGGTATTTCTCTCAAATAAGAGTTAACAAAGGTACCGACTTTCGTTGCTCGTTTTCAAAGTTCTTTTTTTTTGTAAGGTGGGGGGGGGGGGGGGGG